CCTCTAGTAAAAATCACCAAAAGCTGCTATAATATATTATCAAAAATGCCTATCTTCAACAATACCAAAAACTATAAGGAAAGTAAAATATGGCACATACTCAGGAAACAAGCAGCCAAGAGAGACTGTCTTCGAGCAGGCTCAGATGCTGGATGTAGCATACAAAAACATCAAAGCAGTTGTTATAAACATGTTCAAAGAAATGAAAAAAAAACCCAACTTAAATAATTAAAGGAAAATATAGTAAACTGTCTCAACAAATATAGAATGTCAACAAAAATAGAATTATTAAATAACCAAACAGCAGTTTTAGACTTAAAAATTGCAAAGACTGAAATAAAAAATTCACTGGCCTCAAGATGACAAAATGGCAAAAGCAAATACAAGACGACAAAAGAAACACGTCAACTGAAAGATGGAGAGATAATATGTATGCAAGCTGAGGTCCAAGAGAAAAAAGATTCAAACCACAACAGAACTCAGAGACCCATAGAACATCAAGAATGTTAATATACATGTGACAACGGTCATAGGAGGAGTAAAAGAGAGGGTTAGAAAAAAATCTGAACAAACCATGGCCAACACAGCTCTAATTTGATGATAAACATTAATGTATATATCTAAGAAGCTTAACAAATCCCAAGTAATATAAACCACAAGGATTCACACTGAGAAACATCACAAACTACCGAGAGACAGAGAAATATTATTGAAAACATCCATGGAAAGACAACTCAGCACCTACAAGGGAACAGCAACTATAAGATCAAGAGCGGACTTCCTGGAGAAAGCAGTGGTGGCCTAAGCACAGGGGAGCAGGTGTCCACAGGGCTGTCAATCAAGGGCTCTGGGTCTGGCAAACTCTCCTTCAAAAAGGCAGATGAAGATATTCCCAAACTGATGCAGGTAGAAATAGATCATCTGAATCAATCTATAACAATTAAGAAAATGAATTAGTAATTTAAAATCCACCCCCCCCAACACACACACACACACACACACAATCTCAAGTCTAGTTGCAAACCATTGAATGGAACAGATGAGTTTAACAGCAGACTAGACTCACCAGAAGACCTAGAACTCAAGGCAGGTCAATCCTATATAATAAAAAGCTAATATGCAAATTGTCCCCTCGGTCGGGAGTTGGCCCAGGTGCGGGGGCTGGCCAACCACCTGCGTCCCCTTCCCCTGGCTGGCCCAGCCCTATTGGCCCCGATCGGGGCAGACCAGCCAGACCCCACCTGTGCACGAATTCACGCACTGGGCCTCGAGTGGAAAACAACAGAAAATGGAACACAGAGAG